TTCCTGATCAGCAACCTCCGTGATGATTTGATCATCAAGACTAAGTAATATGGTAGAGTGTGCCTTCTCTTCCATAACTTCTAACTGCGAGTCAGTCGGTCCGTCTCCTGACTCCGAAGTAGTACTCTTTGGAGCCAACGGACGCCATATCTGCTGTTGTTTTTAACAGAGCCTTCATCTTAATTTGCCATAGCCCGAAACTATTTTTCCCGGTAAACTTCTCAATTCTTATTGTTGAATCTCCTGCCATTGTTATCTTCAAGAAACTCTCCAAGGATTGAACCTGAGCTCTGATACCAATTGTTGTGCGACAGCGGAAGCAAAGGTCGTAAACAAACAAGAAAACAATAAAGAAATTCAATGCAAACAATAAGAACAACACCAAGAATTTACGTGGTTCACTATCGATGTGATAGCTACGTCCACGGGCACCGAGATCGAATGATTTCATATAAACTGCAAAGATTACAAAGATGATTCTTGTATTTCTCAAGAACGGCTCTCACTCTGTCTCTCTTTTAACCCTAATACTGATATTAGGGAGGTTTTATATTAATCCCTAAAATAAAAGATACTTGGGCAAAAAGATAACATAAAAGATAACTTTAAATCGTAAAATCCGCGTCTCCGCATTTTTCCTTCTCCGCCCGGTCAGACCGGGCAAGGTCTGCCCGATCGGGCGCGAGAAGAAAACTCCATACGAATGCTTCAACGTATCCAACCCCCACCGCCCGGTCAGACCGGGCAAGGTCTGCCCGATCGGGCGAAGGCTCGCCGGTCGGGCGAAGGCTCGCCCGGTCGGGCGCGAGAGCAGCTTCTTCAACGAATTTGCCAGGCACCTCTTCTTCTTCCGCCCGGTCAGACCGGGCAATGTCCGCCCGATCGGGCGGACAAAGCTACGAAGTACGAGTCACCTAATATACTTATCAACAAATGGAGAGATGTCAAGCCCTTAGAATTCGTGGATCCAACGATAAGAAACTCGTGTTCATTTAACGAAGTCTTGAGATGCATGCACCTTGGTTTGTTATGCGTTCAAGAGGCTGTGGATGAAAGACCAACAATGGCAAGGGCAATGCTGTTGCTGGATGTTCACTCCACAGTTACTCCTCCTGTGCCGAAAGAGTCGGCCTTCTTTATTAGGAGCACAACTGGATCGAACAGTTTTAAAAAAAAGGCGTTGATTCAGATCAATCAACCAGAAAATCTGTCCCTATATCTATGAATAATGATGACTCTGTCACTGAAGTTGAACCTAGATAGACATGAGTGATTAGAGATGACGAACATATATACTTGAGCATCGATCATTATTCTACGCTTACCAAGCATCAAGGTGAGGTGAAATCTACTTTTTATCTCATAAATATTGATGTTTGTACTGTACCATTATTATATATGTCTAATTGCTTATGTTGATGTTTTTATTGTATTGTTATTGTATACAAGCATAGCTTAAGTTACAATGTAACAAACTCCCTCCATTTCGTGATAATCATAACACTAGACATTGTACACAATTTTTGGATAAAATTAGGGTGAAAACCAAAGTGGAATGTAATAATTTCATTTGCATTTTAAAAGTAAACGAACTTAGTTTGTCACTATCCTATTAGTACTCTTACACGAAGTATATGTTGTAGTAGTTGGACCATCTTAATAATTGCCAACTGAGGGTAAGATCAATGCGCATATTGTGCTTCGTATGTTATTAAGCTTTCATTCGATAATCGATAATACACCAGGCCAGGACCACCGCATCGTACATGATTATTCTTATTATAAAAAACTCCTTTATAAAATGTTAGATTTTTTTGTCAACAATTACCTTTTAAGTTACCACTTTAGCAAGCAATTACATTTTACGAACAACTACCTATTAAATTACCACTTTTACATTATATTTAAGTGAAATTTGAAATGCTCTCTGAAATGCTCTCTGCGAAACCCATCCTTGTGAGGGAAACCCTTCTCAAGGTTCCTCCCAAAAGGAAAACGACCAAGGTTCCTCCCAAGAGGAAAATGACCAATTTGCTCGCTCCACTAAAAAATACAAACGCAAGATCACCCATCTCATATTCAATAGAGATTCACCTCAACCTCAACAGCCTGTTCATCCAATCAATCAGTCTAAGCAGCCTAATTCAATGTCATATAGGGATATGGTGAGACAAGACCAGATGCAGGGGAACCTTCTCCATCAATCTGATACCCTTAATGATGATGATGATGATTATTCTGATGATGATGAAGCACCTGAGGGGGTGATAGACGATCCTCGATGCCCGGTCATTCTACTCACTAAGGAGGAGAAAATGAGAATTAGGAAGCCCTGGAAACACACACTCATCATCAAGATGTTTAATAGAAAAATTGGCTATATGGCTTTGATGAAGAGATTGAAGAAAAAATGGGAACTCAAAGGTGGTTTGATACTAACGGATATTGGATATGATTATTTTATAGCCAGATTTTCTATTGTAGATGATTATAATCATGTGTTAACACAAGGGCCTTGGATGCTTGATGATAACTATCTCACTATTAGGAAATGGGTTCCAAATTTCATTCCTGATGATGCGCCTTTAAGGTTTCTGACTGCTTGGGTGCGTAATCCCCAACCTCTCTGTGGAATACTTTGACAAAGAATTTCTTCTCAAGGTTGGTAATAAAATTGGGAAGGTTGTTAGGATTGACAACAACACAGCTATGGCTCAAAGAAGTCAATTCACAAGGCTAAGTATAGAATTTGGATCTCTCTAAACCGCTTCTTTCTAAATTCTGGCTTAAAGGAAAGGTATTGAGAGTGCAATATGAAGGTCTGAGATTGATATGCTTCAACTGTGGCAAAATTGGTCACCAATCTGATAAGTGTCCTGCTGTCTGTGACAAAGAGTTAAATGGTGAAGCTGAGATGGATTTTAATCCTACTAATATCCCACTTGCTCCAAGAATTGAAGAAGAATATTATGGTTCCTGGATGATAGTGAAAAAACCACCACCAAGGAAGCGGAATCTGAGGCCGGAAAAAACAGCAGGACGGGCTCAAGCAACCCCAGCAGCCCGTCAAATTAAACCCAGGCCCAGCTAAGCCCATGGAGAGTCATAAGGCAAGTCAACAGGGATCAAGATTTGCAGCATTAGGGGAGATTAATCAGGAATAGAACAAGGAAATAGTTGATCTTGATGGATTTTTGGAGACTAATAATTCAATTCCGAGTATTTTTTGAAACAGTTAACTTGGCAAAATCTTCGCAAGAAAAGATTGTTATGGGAAATTTGGAGAATAATATCCCTTTCAAGTTGGGATCCCATTCCGATAATCATGGCCAAAAGATTGATTCAACAAAAAAGGAAAAAGATACAAAAAAACAGAATATTCAAAATAAATTTATCCTAAATGATATAACTAATATTTCCTCAAAAGATTCTACCCCACCTCATATTGAAGCTATTAAAACTCCCACCCCTATGATTACTATCCAAGCAAACACAGTAGCCACCCTAAGCCAACCCAAGCTAGCCTCGAAGACCCTCTGACTAAGTCACACAACACTCCCTCTGTAAGCCATGTCTCTGCTACACCCCTTTCCAATAATCCTACAGATCCCTCCAGACAAGATCATTTCCTGTGACAGACTTGATGGAGGACCCATAACTTTGGTAATTGCAGACCCCCTGACTCACCAACTAGAGGTGGAGATACATTAATGATCTGTGACGAAACCAAATGATGCCAGAGTTGTTGGTGACACTTCAAGTTGCCAATTTGACATTAAACGAACGTTGCAACTGCTTTTTGATGCACATAATGCCAGTTTCCCTAACTCAATTATGTCTATGAATAATCACAACCTTAACACTACCTCTCTCCCTATCACTTGGTATGATATGGAACACACAAGGTACTGGAAGTCGAGAATTCATCAATGTATTGAAAGAAATTGTTAGAGTGAATAAACCATGTGTCCTTGCTCTTGTTGAGACACATATGGGAGGCGATCATGCTCAAAAAATAGCTTCTATTCTCAATTACAATGGCCACACGAGAGTGGATGCTCAAGGATATAGCGGAGGCATTTGGATTTACTGGAAGCCGGAATTGGTGAAAGTGGATCCAATTACCAAACATAATCAGTATATCACAATGATGATCACTAGAGTAGGTGAAATTCCGTGGTACTTCACTGCTATCTACGCTAGTCCTGACCCTTCAAAGAGGAGTGAATTATGGTATGAATTTAGGAAATTTGCTGATAATAACAACCAGCCTTGGCTACTTGCTGGTGATTTTAATGAGACAAGATACTCTTGGGAAAGAAATTCAAGCTGCCCTGAAACCTCCAGAAGGAGTGAAAGATTTAATGCGTGGGTTGATGACACCCAACTCCTCGAACTAGAATTCTCGGGCCCTTCTCACACTTGGCTAGGGGAAATTCATATGATACATATCAAAGTGCAAGGCTTGACAGGGCTTTGTGTAAACTCAGAATGGGGTTTACGGTTTGATCTGGCAAGAGTAAAACATTTTGCCAGCGCTGCAATCAGACCATACCCCTCTATTCATATCTCCCAATGGTTTCTCCCCTCTCTTCGAATATTAGCAAGCCCTTTCGCTTTCAAGCAGCATGGCTGACACATGAAAAAGTTCGAAGAATTTATCAAAGAAAAGTGGAGCCCCAATGATCCTTTAGTGCCTCTGCTCAAATCTTTTGCTGAAAACCTTCAAGAGTGGAATAAAAATGTTTTTCACTAACATTTTCAGAGAAAAAAGATCTCTCATGGCCCGTATCAAAGGCATCCAGACTTCTCTGTCTAGACAACTCCAGCTTGATTAAAATGGAAGCAAGACTAAGACGTGACCTTGATCAAGTGCTTCAGCAAGAGGAGTTGCTTTGGTACCAGAAAAGCTCGCGTGGATTGGTTAGCTGACGGGGACCGCAACACCACCTTCTTTCATTTAAGTACAGTGGTGAAAAGATGGAGGAACAAGATTGTCGCAGTTAAGGATGAAAACAACCAATGGATACATGATAAGGAAGAGGTGAAGAACCTAATTGTGAATTATTTTCGAAATCTCTTCACTGATGATGGTGTCCATGGGGAGTATAACATCCCTACAGGAATGTGTTCACCATTTTCAAGCTCGGATTTAGACAAATTGAGCAGACCTTACTCTAAATGTGATATTGATTATGTGATCCAGAATATGGGTTCCCTTAAAGCGCCGGGTCGGATGGATTCCAAGCTTTATTTTATCAGAAAAATTGGGAATTAGTAGCCCCGAATGTCTATTCAATGGTGTTCTCTGTTCTTGAGGGTAAAGGTCTTCTAGATTCTGCAAATGACACCTTCCTAGTCTTAATTCCTAAGTCAGACAACCCTGAACTTCCCTCTCAATTTCGGCCTATAGGCCTTTGTAATGTCACATACAAGATCATTACAAAGGCTATAGTTAACCGAGTAAAAAGTCTGCTCCCTAAGGTTATCTCTTGTTCCCAAACAAGTTTTGTTCCCGGAAGGCAAATTACAGACAACATCGTGATAGTGCAGGAAGTAATCCACACCATGAAGAGAAAGCAAGGTGGGAAAGGTTACATGGCTCTGAAAATCGACTTTGAAAAAGCCTACGATAGACTCAAGTGGAGTTTCATTCGAGATACTCTGATTGTAATGAATTTCCCCCGGCTCATGACTGAAGTTATTATGGAGTGTGTGACATCACCTTCTATGAGAGTGCTTTGGAATGGCGAAAAAACCAAAGCCTTTAAACCTATAAGGGGCATACGTCAAGGAGATCCGCTCTCACCCTATCTATTTGTGCTTTGTATGGAGAGATTAAATCAAACCATTGAAGAGGCAGTTCTTTGTGATAGGTGGAAACCAATTTTCGCAAGCAGAGGAGGTCCCAGCCTTTCCAATTTATTCTTTGCGGACGACATAATGTTATTTGCGGAGGCTTCAATTGAGCAGGCAATAGTTATTCGTGACTGCCTAGATCGATTTTGTGCAGCCTCGGGAGAAAAGGTCAGTCTTCAAAAGTCTCGAGTGTATTATTCCAAGAATGTATCACAAGAAAATATTGAAGCAATTAGTGAAGCTTTGGGAATGAAGGCTACTGAAGATCTTGGCACGTATCTTGGAATGCCAACCTTTACTTCTAGAGTCACCAAGGAGACATTTGCGCACTTATGCGAGAAAATAGATAGAAGGCTCTCAGGGTGGAAGGCGAAATATCTGTCTATGGCTGGGAGAATTACATTGACAAAATCTACTGTCATAACTCTTGCAAATTATTCGATTCAAACCGCGAAAATCCCGATATCAATCTGTGACACAATTGATAAAAAAGCTCGTAGATTTTTATGGGGAGGCAACGAAGACAAAGCAAAAATTCACCTTATAGCCTGGGATACTGTTCAACTGCCAAGATGCAAGGGTGGCTTGGGAATCAGGTCTGCAAGTCAATCTAATTCAGCCTTTCTCACAAAGCTTGGTTAGAGAGTGATCGCGGAGCCAACTGCTTTATGGTCTCGTGTAATTCGTGCAAAATACTGCAAAGGTCGGTGTGATATTGATATGTTCACACCAACCTCTAGCATGTCCAACGTGTGGCGTGGTATAGTTGACAACGCGCACTTGATCAAGAAAGGATCGATGGTGGCTATTGGGAATGGTTGTCGAACATTATTTTGGGATCTCTGCTGGGTGACTGACTCACCTTTAAGGGAATTGGTAATCCTACCCATCCCAAGCTTAATTGAAGGAGCTACTGTCAGTGAGCTGTGGGACAAAAATACAGGGTGGTTGTGGGATGAATTTGCTCATTTATTATCTTCCGAGGTCCTAAAATTAATAGCTTCGCACAAGATAGCTGATAGTCCAGATGTTGAAGATGTTCGCTTCTAGAAAGGCTCAAGTTCGAGGAAGTTCTCAATCAAGCAAGCTATGGTATTATTGAAAGATGAGGATATGATTCCAAAGCACCATAAATGGGATCTAGCGTGGACTGTGAAAGCTCAGCAAAGAGTAAGGGTATTTATTTGGTTAACTCTTCACAATCGTGTTCTTTGCAACGCCAACAGACTTAGGCGTGGTCTCACTAATGATCCAAGATGTACCAGATGTGATGGGAACTTAGATGAAACCTTGTTGCACACTCTGAGAGATTGCCCTGCAGCTGCTGCTATATGGAGAAGCGTGGGAAGTTCTGCAAATCACCCTTCCTTTTGGGCTGGAAACCTTGAACAGTGGCTGATTCGTAATCTGGATGCTAGTAATATAATTTTTGATGATAAATGGTCCTCGTGTTTTGCAATAACTCTATGGTGGCAATGGAGGTGGAGAAACTCCTTGGTTTTTGGCAGAGGAACTGATATCCCACATCATACAGGGGAGTTCATTCTAGGCCAAGTAGAGGATGTTTGGAATGCATTTCATGATCCCAATCGCATTATCTCTTTGAGTTCAGGTGTGCAGCAACCTAGGAAGGAAATTTTGGTGAGATGGAAAGCTCCTAATGCTGGCTGGACAGTGTTGAACACTGATGGTGCTTCTAAGGGCACCCCTGGACTAGCAGGGGGTGGTGGCATTTTGAGAGATGATAACGGGGCAGTCGTGGGGGGTTTCACAGCTAGCTTTGGTATTTGCTCTGCATACAGAGCAGAGTTACTTGTAGTTGAACTAGGACTGGAATTAGCTATGAGGAAAAGGATCAGCAAACTTGAGCTTCAAATGGACAATCAAGCCTGTATAGAAGCATTGAAGAATCCAGACATCCAAGGTGGAGAGTGTGTCCATGTTCTTAATAAATGTCGTTTCCTGTTAAATTGTTCTAGTTGGTCAGTTCGAGTCGTACATTGTTATAGGGAGGGGAATAAAGTAGCGGATAAGCTAGCTAATTTAGGGGTTATCCAAAGTGAGAAAGTGGCCTTCTTTGATGTTGCACCATCGGAGATTTGTGCTCTTCTAAATGAGGATATCATAGGAGTGGCTTTGCCACGTTTAATTTCTTAGTTTTCGTTTTTGTTTGTACGGGTTTATTACCTCTTTTGCACCAAAAAAAAAATTAAAAAAAAAAAATAAAAAAAATTACCACTTTTACGGGTAGCACTAACAGTTGAGAGATTTTAAAACTAGTGTTAACTTTTTTTTTTTTTTTTTTTTTGGGTGAAGTTAACTATTTGTTTATAGAATCTCTCTCTCTTTTTCCCTATGAATAATTATTTTTATATTTTTTTAACTCTCGTATTATGTGGCTTAATTAATCATTAAATAAGTCAATAATCACTTAAAAACTCAGGGAAAAAAAACGTTCTTTGTATAATCAGTTTTAATTTGAAGTCATTTTTGTTCGATCTTATTTATTTAATCACTTGCAAGTTACAAGTCATGGACTATATAAATTTCATTATATGATTTATATCTGACCAATTCTTTGATTCAAGACTATTCAACTACGAATAAGTTAACATTAAATTTGTTATATATTTTGTACAAACGTACGGTCTTCATGTCTTTTGCATCATTCTAACTGAATAACTATTTTTGTAATCACTTTGGATTCCTTACCTGCAAGTAATTGACTATCTTATTTATATAACCAGTTTTAATTTTAAGTCATTTGTTCATTCTATTCTGATCAAGTCATTTGTTCAATGTAATCTGATTTTTTTAATTAAATTACTTGCAAACTACGAGTACAAGTTATGGACTATATATAATTTATATACAGATAATGATCAATTATAAACTCTGTTTTCAAATGAAATGTCATCAGTTAACAAAAATATATGTCGATATCAATAATTAATACATGGCGTGCACAATACATTGGTTATCTTACACTACATTGCGCGTCAAAGATCATTTTCAATGATGTATCGATATGCTTGGTTGAATTCCTATCAATTCAACTATAAAGTAATTTGATCGTTTGCATCTGCTTTAGCTTGAAACCGTGCAAATCAGGAGCACAACAATGGCAACTTCTTACAATACAATACGAGTACTCGAAACCTTTATATTGTTCTGCTGTTTTTGTAGTCTTGTAAGCAGCGACAGCAGAGATTCATTCATTGCTAGACAAATCAGCAACAGTGTGGGTTGTTCGAGTACTGGAAATGCTAGCGATGCCTTCAGAAACAATGTAAATCTTCTTCTATCTGATTTCATCGAACATTCCTCTGCTAACAACTACTACAACACTAGCATCGGCGACAGCTCTGATCGAGTTTATGGCTACTACATGTGTCGAGCTGATGTTGACCTCAAAACTTGTAGCAGTTGCATACTTAACGGTACACAATCTGTTATGGAATCAACCTGTATAGAGCATGAAGACGTGATTCTCTTCTCGCAGTTGTGCATCTTTCGATACACAAACTACAGTACATATGGCATGTTCGAGGGTGCACTATCAGGGTCCGATCATATTGACGCAAATGTATCGAACTACCAGCAGTTTAATCGAACATTGTCATCGACGTTGAAAAATCTTATCAACGAGACTGCTTTTGGAAGCGAAAACAATGGATCTAGATTGCGTTTCGCTACCATAGAAGCCCGTGTAACAGAAGATGAGACAATCTATAGCTTGGCTCAATGCACACCTGATATAGCCGGCGTAAATTGTAGTCGATGTTTACAAATTGGAGTCTCTGACTTCAGCCGCTCTGCTAATCTATCTCCAGCTGCTTATACTTTAAAGAACAAATGTTACATCAGATATGATAATGTCTCTTTCTATGATTTCGGAGACTCGAATGTCAATGCAGGTGTTGTTTTAAGACCATCAAATTCTCTATTCGTCTACTCTGCTGTATTCCTGTTTGTATTGATGAACTTTCTTGTGCTTTGCTAGGCCTTGGACCGATTTATTTTTGTTGAAGTATCATGTACTATATTATTAATTTATGATACATAATTTTGTAATGTGGCTGTGTATCTAATTTGCTATTATTTGATACTTCAATTAAATTCTTATGGTTTGATGATAAGCTAGATTAATTTTTGCATCAAGAAAAGTTGTCAGCTGATTCAGTTCTTATACGATACAGTTTTCGATTTTAAGGTAGAGGCTTTTAGTCCTCCACTCCCTCCATATGTTACATTCAAACTCTTGTAATAGTTCATCCTATAATCACGAAAAGCAATGAGAACATTTCTTATACCGACTCATTAACCATATCAGCCTATTTCACCAGCCACGTGGAGACCTACTTCCGGCCATGTGAACATCCACCGGCCATTTGACAAGATAGCTACGTCGGCTGACACATGGCACTAGGTTGGGGGTTTATATAAATAGCCAAGCATAATGGAATATTATCAAGTATCAAGCTTGCTAAAGTCAATGATCTAGCATGTATCCTAGAACTTTCCTTTCTTGAAATATTACTTTGTTCTTCGAGTTGACTTTCTGCTTTTATAAGAATTAAAACTATTTTGATCTTAGTGCATCCATGGGATATACAATAACACTCTTTTGCATCACAATTTTATGCTTAGTTGACAAATTGGCACTGTGTTTCGATGATGAATTGAGTAATTAATTCTAGCTTTTGCTACAACTATGATACCGATCCTACCAATAAGCTCAATAATCCCACCATTTTAAACTACCAAAATAATGTTCAATCACTTCATTCTATCTGCCTTTGTAGCTAAGTCCTCCTTGTCGCACCCACCCGAGAGTTTCTTCAAGACCAATGTAGGTGAAGTTTCCGAAAGGGCTTATGGTTCGTATCTTTGTCGAGGTGATCTTAGTGCTAAAACATGTAGCAATTGCTTAGAGAAGGTAAGACAAGCTGTCTCGGATTATCGCATTGATTATGTCGCTTATGAACATTATTACTACCCATAGTGTATTGTGTACAACGTGGATTTGAAGTGCATAGTACACTATGCAAATAGCTCGAAACCGTCCATCAACACAACTATCGTCAGTGAAGAATCCTCGGATTACTTGAATAATCACCCACTTTACAACATGACATTGTCAAATAACATACAAGAACTCATCAGAGAAGCTGCCTATGGCAACTGGACCAAGTTTAATTTCGAGACCAAGACCATCGATGTAACGGGATCCGATGAGAAAATTAACATACTTGTTCAATGCACGCCTGATATATCTGCTATGAACTGCAGCAGCTGCTTAAGTGATTTGTACTATAGTCTTCGGCCTGACGGTGTAGGTGGAGGAATTTTCAGTTCTCATTGTTTGCTCAAGGACAATAATCAGCCTTTTTTTCGAACCAAAAAATAGTAATGAGACTAATAATAACGCTATCTTAAGTAATGCTTACCGTAGTTTTATGTCTAGTTATTTTCATTTGTACCTAATGTTGGTCTTGTTATTGACTATGTAAATATAACATTGTTTTCCACATTTATATATAAATCTCAATCATATTAACTTTTTTTGGCTCCACAATACCAATTGTAACGTCTTTGTTTATGAAAACAAGTTCATTATAAAAAGTGGAAATCGCGTACTTAAACAATAATGAAATCAATTTTCCTTTGCTTTCTTATCTAATTTTTACGTCTTCTAATATTTTGAATAGCATTGTATCATTAGTCAGAAGATTTGGCATTAATCAATTAGTACTCTTATAATAGTTGGAGTAGTTGGACCATCTTAATCATTGCCGGCAATGGACTTGACTAACGATAAGATCAATGCAAATTGCTAATAATAAATCTTAATTTAATCAATTTGCTATTAAGCTTTCAATAATACACCAGGACCACCGCGTTTTATATATAATAAGTTCTTTCTTTCTTAAGTACTCACATAAAAAATTGAGCATGTAAAGCAACTAGGCCAAGCAACACTATGAAACCGATAAACTCTTCCTCGTTTTGATCTTCATCATAATGTTTTCATTCTACAATCGCGATACTAGTGCTGAAGATTTACACAGCTTTAATAGAGTATGTTACGGAATTTCCACAACCAGTAATAGTTCCACATACAACAACTTCAAAACAAATGTCTACTCACTTATCTCCATGCTTGCATCTAAGTCATCTTCATCGCCGAGCATTTTCTACAACACGTCTTCTGCTGCTGAAATTTATCCAAGGGCTTATGGATCTTACTTATGCCGTGGTGATCTAAAGAACAAGTTTGTCAAAAATGCGTTTCTGATGTAACCGGATTCCTCTCACGAGCAGACATCACCAACTCAGATTGTTATGGCACGGAGTCTACTATAACGATCCACAATGTATTGTACACTACGCAAACAGATCCACATTCGATGTGTACGAAAAGGGTAGATCACTTGATAGTGATTCGATAGGTGAGAAGGTTACTGACTACAATAACTACAACGAGAAATTATCGAGCACAATTCAAGGACTCATTAGAGAAGCCGAGTTGGGCAATTGGACACAACCTAATTTCGAGACAAGGGTAGTAGACGTAAAAGGATCTAATGATGAGAAATTTATGTACTTGTTCAATGCACGCCTGATATAACCGCGTCGAATTGTAGTAATTGTTTAGGGGAATTATACTCGAGACTTCCTCATTGTTGCAATGGCACTCAAGGTGGATACGTTGCGTATGGTAATTGTTTGATCAAGTATAATAATCAATCTTTCTTTGGGAGAGCCTACCATAGTTTTTTGCCTAAATTGTGGCATGTTACATTGGTCTTGATAGTGACTTTGTACATTGTATTTATGGAATGTTAGTTCTTCAAGATTCAAATAGATAAATAAATAATTGGTCAATGTATGTTCGTTACTTATAGATGACAAATTTTTTTATTTTTTTTTAATGGTAGTTAAACTATAGTACTTTGTAGTTTGTACTGTATATTTATAAATTGGACTGACATTAATCAATACTTTTTTAATACGGCTCCCTTAATTTCTTGGTTAGCACAACTAAGCAAGCAGGATATCCACATGTACGTATATAAACCACATACTTCGTATTTCTTGATTCTGCGTTTAGTATATCCTGTTAAAATAAATTATACATACGATGACGATATAGAGGTGATCATGGGTTAGATGGGAGTATATCGAAGAAAGATAAGCCAAGTCAATATTTAAAAATGGATGGAAAAAGCATTATGGGCCGTAAATAACACTTATTAAAACATGTACTAGTACAAAGTTCTCAAATTTTGAACTCGGACTAGCTAGAAAACCTGATCCAACAATCCTATCCAAAACCCGAAGTTTATAAAGTTGTAAACAATTTTTATGCTCGTATTGTTCAAAATCAGTGTTCGGCTGTATCTAGCTAGGACTACTACATTACGGGGTTTTTTTTTTTTTACCATGCATCAATCATGTCCCTTCATGGTAAAAATTAGTAATTAAAAAAAAGAATTATAAATCTTTATTTCAGCAATATGGGTCAATGATATTGGAGTATTTGATAAAAATAAAAATAAGTTAAGGTGAATATGAGTCAATGCAACAATTAAAAAACTACTCCTTCCGTCCCAAAAAGAACGACCCGTTTGGGCTGATTACGCCGGTATTAAGGAAGTTAAGTAAAAAGAAGTAAAGTATATTGGAAAGATAAATTTACATGGGGTTTGTAAAAAAATAGAGAGCGAAAGTAATAAAATAATGAAAAATCAAATTTTTATATGGAAAGCGAATTTTGCACAAATATTGTTGCAAATTAGTGGTGTTTTAATGCAAATGGGTCATTCTTTTTGGGACAAAGTTTTGGCCAAATGGGTCGTTCTTTTTGGGACGGAGGGAGTAATATAATTTAGACCAAATCAAGCTAAACAAAATTGTGATCAACAAACCAATTAAAAAAAATAATAATAATAAAGTGAAGTTAAAAAAAAAATGGTCTTTTTTATCACTTCCCAAATTCATTCCTTCTTTTTATTTCCAACTTTCCATTTTAAGGAAGACCCAAAAAATATTGAACATGCTACGTAATCATTGACTAAATTAGCATTAAATTTCACATTAATTAATTATAATTTACGATCCGATCTAATAAATACAAGAGTACTATAAAATAAGCATAACTTAAATTACAGGAAACTAGCAACTTGTGATTTAAAAGATTTGTACACCGTATATCACATGCAAAAATCTTCTTATGTCCAATACTATGAACCTTCCATTCAATCTCTACAAAATCCTCTGTTTTTTTCTAGTTGACTTTCCTCCTTAAACAACCAAAACCCAAGTTCAAATTGAACAACCATGGCATGTTCAATAAACTCTCTTCTCTTCCTTGTAACAATTATTGTTACATGCTCATGTATCAATATGACCTTTGGTGTCGAGGAAGTCGATTTCGATGGTGTTGGTAGAGTTTGCTATGGAAACTCAACGACTAACGATTCCACAAGTCAAGAATATCAAAACAATGTTAAATTACTTCTATCGGTGCTTGTTTCGGAGTCTTCTTCATTGCATCCACCAATGACTTTTATTAGTACGTCGGTAGGCAGGGTTGCGGAGAGGGCTTACGGTTCCTACCTTTGTCGAGGGGATCTAAGCGTAAGGCAATGTCACAATTGTTTAGTAAACTTGACAAATTTTATGTCGGATTTAAAGACTGACAATTCGGATTGTATTGGATTTGGCAGTTTTCTTTGGTGCATGGTACATTACTCAAATAGCTCAAATTTTCGGCATATCAAGAGGGGCTTGTGTTTAGCTATAATTCAATTGGAAAAAATGTGTCCAACTATGAGCAATACAATGAGACGTTGTCTAACACGATGCAAGGACTCGTTACAGAAGCTAGTTATGGTAATTGGACCAAGGCTAATTTCGCGACTAGGTCTGTTGAGGTAACGGGGTCTCATGAGAAAATCTTTGCACTGGTTCAATGCGCGGCTGATTTATCTCCCTTGAATTGCAGTAAATGCTTAGGAGAATTGTATTCTTATATTCCAGATTGTTGCAATGGTTCTCAAGGTGGAATTCTTGTTCATGCTAATTGTTTGATGAAGTACAATAATCAGTCTTTCTTCGGTTTAGCTAGTCATAGTTTTATGCCAAGTTATATTCATGTGATATTTCTCTTGTTATTTACTATGCACTTCACAATTATGTGAACTTGCA